AGGCAAGTTGACCCCGTGATGCACGGAAACAAGGGTGTGCCAAAATACGCATACATTACCAGTCAATGTATCCACAAGTGGCGCCACGTTATGCGGGCCTTATTCACAAAATTACTCTCAGTTGAACGTGAAGGAAATGAGCTTTCGGGGCAAATCTGGTGCCCAAATCACCGGTATCCTCGTTCTTTTCTTGCAATTGGACTTATCCAGCAATATGGTGCCCACTAGTTTAACATTTTGTAAGTTAATTTCCGTTATCATCCGTAATCACCAGGGCGACTGTAGGAGGGTGGAACGTGATGTAGATAAATCTCAACTTTAAACAATCCAAAGTTTTATGGAAAGGTACCGCCTATTACCGGTATTGTGCATATGGATATACCAAGATTGACATTAGTTTGAAGAAGTTAACTGAGTTCAGTTCAGTTCAGTTCCGTTAAGTTCCATTCAGTTCACTTCCGTTCAGTTCAGATCTGTTCTTTTTAATTTTACTTTAGCTTTCTTTATTTTATTTCACTTTGGTCACATTGGGAACTGAAATCTAACCAGCATAACACAACCACCACGAACATTTCCTTGACTGATGTTGGAAGTGACGCAGGGCAGTAGTGAATAGGGGTTTCTTTGCTTGTGAAGAGTACCTGTGTTCAACTCTGCTAAGGAATATGCTCAAGCATTATGTGGCCAGCAAATCTGGCTTCAGTCGTTAGGTTTCTTATTCAAAAAGCACAACTTCAAGGAAAATTTACCGAACCAATCAATGTCCAACCGACAGAAAGCTGGAACGATTGGTGCTGTAAAACTTTAGAAAGACAAGATCCAGATGATACCAATGACTACTGAACTCGGGTCAGTTCATGTGAATACCTCTGCCTTACTTTGAGTGTGTATCGTGGTTTCAATTTTTCGACAACCACTTTCAAATATCTGTTGACTTAACCTCTGGTTATTATGTGTAGGATGGAATTCTACCTTATCATAGACGTTTGTTACCATTTCAAATACCTCACTATTGGCGCAGGAGGATTACCTACATAAACAGATATGGTTACTGACAATTTTAGGCAGCTGATGACGAGTTCCGCCTGCTGGTGGACGTTAGGAGGAATCTAGTGTGAACACATCTTCCTGTTCGTTTGAAAGCATTCTCAGTCATTAGTCCAAACCTATGCTCAAAATGTAGGATCCTAAGTCTTTCTTACGCGTGGCGGATATTTTGGTTCCATGATTAGACTGACGCTAGCTGAGATCCTGCTATCTATCTGTCTTCGCGTCCCCGAGGTTGCCCAGCAGACAAATCATTGAATGGAGCTGTGCGGAGCCGGATACTAGGCTGAATGCCTCATCGACCCTGTCCATAACGTCTGTTCCTAACGGACACCTCAATTGCTGCATGATTTTGCCCAAACAAAATGAATTGCAGCTGTTCCGTTTCGTGTTTTGCCATAGTCGCGAAACATGGGTTGTGTTTTTCCATCTAGCTAGCGGTCCAAAGATCGCTCGGTAAAAGCAAAAGCATTTACGTAAAACCGTCGGGATACCCAGGACCTGTGGACTCATCAAGACGCCTCCACATATCTGACTTACCAGTGCAGGATAGGTGCACAAGACGAACAAAAATAGGCCAGTCGGCCGATACAGGTAGAACCGCTTTATGTCGTCTGTCGACGCAAACACACTGCTCAAATTTCAGCGTATGTTTTGGGCCGTTGTTGTCTTAACACATTGTCAGCAGGATGTTGTTTTATCAGATTCATCAACTGGTAGATTTGCATGCTCCTCGGGCACGAAGGGATCGACTCCAAACCAGATCTATCTAGTCCAGAATCATTTTCCAGGTACTCCAAAGAAGAAATTTTGGATACACCGGATGCGCTGTACCGCACAGAAATCACCACAGTGGACAGATCAATTACCAGGGGAGCAAGAATGCCTGCTTAGGATCTGACAATTAAAACGCCATGCGACAAAACAGGCCAGTTGGTCACTCGGATGATACACAAAATACTTGTACAACTATTATTGAAATTACCTGCTTCCCATAAGATTGCTGAAAAGCCTTCAGCAAGTCACGGCAGGGCTCACATTTCTAGGGTTCATTCTATAGGCGTACACTCTGATGTTCAATAAAGCAAGGGT